TTCTAAACAAATCTCACAGTACCACATTAAATTTGAGCCACTCAAGTCCTGACCATCTTTCCTAGTCAACAGAATAGTGGGATCAGTAAAATGAAGGCAAAATGCAGCCCATAAAATTAGCAGCTGCACACTCGTGGTGTAGAGAGTTAACAAAACATGTTTACAGAATCATTTTGTTTTTTTTAATTGCTATAGCAAAGGCTTAAAAAAACTGAATGTTTATTCCTTTGCTGTAGCGTATCATTTTTTAAAAAAGGCTAGCATGCAGTTCTTTTTTTTTTTTATAAAATTTTTATTTGGTTTTCTGCTTTTATAAAGACAAAACATACACAAAGACAAAACAAAGACAAAAACATGTATAAAATCAGCAAATCCCCATTTCATAACCTTGTTCCCTGACTTCCCCCCACCCCCCTAATGCATCCCAGTTTCAAGATTATGTCAGCAAGTTGATATTTCTCCTCTTAACAATCTTATTCATCTTATTTCCTTTTTTTTATAATAAAAATTAGTTTTCATAAGTTGGACTTAAGTTCTCTTCCATCGATTTTCATTTTATCTTAATTTAGAGTCATCTTAACCAAACCTAAAAGTCTTGAGAGTTTTAAAGAGTCTCTTCTTCCCTCCCTCCCATCCCCGGTTTTTGTCCCTTCCCAATAAAAATCCAAATTTGAAGTTCTCAGCCTGGGTTCCTCACGTCCGAGGCTTTCAAATCTATTTCCGTTCCTCTCCGCCTGTCCTGTTGGTAGTCCTTTACAGCAGTCGTCAGATCTGGGAAAAGTTCTTTCACCATCAAAGTATGTCCTCTTCCAACAAGAAGATTCAAAGGTGGCTGCTGAAGTATTTCCACAAAGTCTATCTCTTCCAAGTCTAAGTCCAAACGGAGGCCCCAATCATATTTCTTTATTTTAAATTCCTGTACTCCATTTTGTCTTGGGGCCTCCTCCTTCTTCTTCTGTATCTCTCGCAGACTTGTGGTGAATATGTTCCCAGCGTCTCCTTGCTTGTATTCCACAGATGTCAACTTTTGGTTATTACTTCCCAGGATTACTTCTTCTTTTTCTTGTTGTTTAGTCTCTTCCAGCTCTGTAGATATTGTTTCCCAATCAGCTGTGGATTCTTTCTCATTAAGGTCCTCAATACAAAGAGCAGAGTTGCCTGTTCCCAAGGTCATAGTCTCAAGTTGTTTGTTCATGGCCAAACTCTGCTCCTGTAAGATTCCCACCAATTGAAACATCCTTTCGATTTCCACTAGTAACTTTCCTTCCACAGCCATTGTATCCATTGTAGTTTCACAGAGTTCCCCCTAGGGGGAATCTGGTTACTTATTTGCCTTTTCACCAACAATCCTTAAACTGATTATTATTACTTTGTTTCCAACAGTTTCAGCTCAATTATAACTCGTCTTAGTCCATAAAAATCTTAAATGGCAATTTCTCACTTTAAACCGCCCGTTTGGCAGCTTTGACAGCTGTCAAACTCCACAGCTCTAACGCAGGCACGAAGGCAGGACGTTCCCGAGCCCGGGAGGGGGGGTTGTTTAAAACAGAAGGAAGGTTTCCAAAACTCCACTCTCCTGCACAAAATTTTCCTTTAGTAAAATCTTGAAAGTTAGTGTCCTTTTAACTCACCCCAGTTCAACCCTAAACAAGTTCACGTAGGAGCAAACACTTTCTTGTAAACATACTTAGCATTGCAACCTTAGAGGCACATTCCAATATACTTAGTAGCAGGCATAGTGCTCCTTCAAACTGCAGGCTTCGGTGACTTTTAACATCATGCCAATTTTGTCTTCCCCCCCCACCCCGCTGTTTTGCTTAATATGCTGCATAAAGGAGACTTTTGAAGAACTCAAATGATTGCTGATTATTTTGTGACATTTTGCCTGACCTTAATAAAGGCATGCTGTGCTTTGGATTTTGCGCTTCCCCTTCAATCGACCAAGGCAGCTACCTATTATTTTGTGCGTTAGTTGTGTAACTTTTAGAATTATAGAATTGTGGAGTTGGAAGGGTCCCCCAAGGGTCATCTATTCTAGACCAACCCCCCTGCAATGCAGGAATCCTGCTCACAGCTGTCCCTCAGTGGGCTCGAACCACCAACCTTTTGGTTAACAGCCAGATGCACTGCCCCAATGTGCCACCTGTGGGCAATCCGAACTATGTCTGCCTGGAAGTTAAGTCCCATTGAATTCAATGGGGTTTACTCCAGAGTTAGAGGCATAAGTACTGCGGCCTAATTTAGGAAATCTATGGGAAAGAAACGAGTCCTTTCTAACCTTTTGTCCTCCTTCTGTCTTGTTAAAGTGTAGCAGAAAACAGCAACGAAAGAAAAAAGTCTTTGTTACATAGGAGTATTTAGCTGGGCAAATAAATGCCTACAGGAATAAACACAACACAAAGCATAGATTATTATGTTTTACTGAAAAAACAATAACAACAATAATGAGTGGAGCTTGGAGAAATCATTCAATGTTACTTCCATTGCATTTCAAAACCAACTGGCTTAACAGAAACGAAACAAATATTCATTTCATTAAACAGAGTTAATAGCTTTAAAAGTGATTCAACAGTACATGTAATTTGCTACATTCAGTTTACATAGCCCTTTATGTACTACACAAAACATAAATGGACATACATATTGTATGTTAAAAAAATAATAAAGGCAGGTCCATTATTAAGCTAGATAATTAAAAATTAAAAAGAAATGTCATAATTTCCCATAAGACCCAATAGGGTTTATGCCATCAAGGGGAGTGTGTGCTTTCTGCCCAATATAGCCCACCAACAGCCATTCTTTCAAACATGCTCTCCTGAGATTCTAAGCAAATCTCACAGTACCACATTAAATTTGAGCCACTCAAGTCCCGACCATCTTTCCTAGTCAACAGAATAGTGGAATCAGTAAAATGAAGGCAAAATGCAGTCCATAAAATTAGCAGCTGCACACTCGCGGTGTAGAGAGTTAACAAAACATGTTTACAGAATCATTTTGTTTTTTTTAATTGCTATAGCAAAGGCTGTTTCACATGTGCTTTTATTACTTGTGTGTGGGGGGGGAAAGGTGTGCAATTCACTTACGTGACTATGGGGAAGGGGCTATAGCTCAGCAGTAGAGAATCTGGTTTGCTTGCAGAAGGTCAGAGGTTCAATCCCTAGAATCTAAAGGGTAGGGCTGGGAAAGACTCTCCCTTACCAGAAATCCTGGACAGCGTCTGCCAGTAGTTGACCCTCAGGTCAATCATGGCTCACCAGGGAGTCCAAGTTGGCCTGTGACATCATTTCCCCCAAACCACGCCCACCTGGCAGAGTTTGCCTGCAGAAGGAGAGAGAGATAAAGGTCTGGCCCACTGAGCAATAAAAGTTCCCTACCCCCTGGTGTAGGCAATTCTGACCTAGATGGATCCAGTGGTGTAGCATGGGTTGCTAGTGTTTAGGGCCGCGTGGCAGGGCTGGGTGGGAGGGAAATGGACGGAGTATGCATGTGCGTTCAATTGCCTAACGGCGTCTGCGTCACCCAGGAGATTGCAGTCACAGAGATAAGAAAAGAAGGGTTGTTCCATTGTCTGGAGAGGTCACTTCCTGGTTCTCATGGAGAAGCTGTTTTCAACGGAGCCCAGTAATGGAAGGGCACAGCTGTATTGAGGCAGCAGCGGGTGTTGAAATTTTGCACCCCTAACAATTTTGCGCCCCTGTGGCCTCCCCCACACACTACGCCACTGGATGGATCAATGGTTTAACACAGTGTAAAGAAGCTCCCTATGTAGCAAATACATGCAAATGCAATTAGCACAAAGAACAACATGCTCTGCATTTTCAGTTTCTATCCTTTTCCCTACATGGCGGGAGGGGCGTGTGAAAGTATCTCCATTCTCAGGTTTTAAGCACTATCTCAGCTGTGTAAATAAATGTACGTGAGGCATTCATTCCCAGGTATCCATTTCATTATAACACGTATAACCTCAAAAGGCTGCACAATAAAACTACTTGGGGTACTTCCATAGTCTTTAAAGAAGGGCTATTCTGGGTCTATTGAATCTTGTTGAACTTCCAACAAGAAAGACCTTAATAACCATACCCAATCCCTTTAAGGGCTAAGAGGGTATGTAAAAAGGTAAAGGGACCCCTGACCATTAGGTCCAGTCGTGACCGACTCTGGGGTTGTGGCGCTCATCTTGCTTTATTGGCCGAGGGAGCCAGCTTATAGCTTCCGGGTCATGTGGCCAGCATGACTAAGCCGCTTCTCGTGAACCAGAGCAGCGCATGGAAACACTGTTTACCTTCCCGCCGGAGCAGTACCTATTTATCTACTTGCACTTTGACGTGCTTTCGAACTGCTAGGTTGGCAGGAGCAGGGACCGAGCAACGGGAGCTCACCCCGTCGCAGGGATTCGAACCGCTGACCATCTGATCGGCTAGTCCTAGGCTCTGTGGTTTAACCCACAGCGCCACCCGCGTCCCTCTAGGAGGGGATGTAAAGGTAGCTAAAAAGTCAGTGTGCTGGAGTGGTGAGAGCATTCTGGTCTACAACTGGGGAGACCCAAGTTCAAATCCTACCATGAAGCCTCACTGGGTGACCTTAGGGGAACCGCATTTCAGCCTAACCTACTTCACAGGGTTGTTAGTTAAACTTGAGGACCACACACACCACTTTCAATCCCTTTTAGGAAAAGTGGGATATAAATGTATAATAACTTCCATGCTGAAAGTTCCATAATCAGCACAGGATTGTCTTCTAGTACTTGACATACTTGCATTCATCTGCAGGTTATGAAATCATATTAATACACCTGACAACATCCCCCCCCAGTTTTTGGTATCCTTTCTTCCAACATAAATAGGCGAACTCCCGTATTTTTCGCTCTATAACACGCACCCGACCATAACACGTACGTAGTTTTTAGAGGAGGAAAATCTGTAGGCATGCCACCCGTAGGCATTCCCTCCATAACACACTCAGACATTTCCCCTTACTTTTTAGGAGGAAAAAAGTGAGTGTTATGGTGCAAAAAATACGGTATTTAATGTCCGATTTTAACAAGGGAATTGAGGGATATATCAGATTCTTCAACAGCTCTAAATCAAGATAAAGTAATTATTTCAGTCTTTAAGACCACAGTCCTATACACGCTTAGGGAGGTCAAGGCAGTTTAGATGAGGAAGAACGCCCAGAAACATTTCTCATTTTAAGTCAGTGGGTACTATTAAATAGATTTCAACAGCTGGGCAGAGAAGTCATAACAGGCACTGAAATAAACCACAGTCATAACTGAACACAGTTCGCTTATTATACAATCATGTGCTAATGGGAATTGTCATCACATTCCTCGGTGTGTGGTATTCTGAGCAACCCCTGGTATATTACCTACACCAGGGATGGGGAGCCTGCGCGCCTCCAGATGTTGTGGACTACAACTCCCATCATCCCTTACCATCAGCCATGCTGGCTGGGGCTGATGGGAAATGGAGTCCCAACAACATCTGGAGGGCCACAAGTTATCCACCTCCGACCTACACTAAGCACAACATACTAAGTGCTAGAAAGCAGGGCCTGTGAATCACAACCACACAAGTTGCTGTCAGATAACAGTATGACAGCACTAAGTTCCCTGTGTATGAATCTTTCTGTGGGATACAGGGGAATTTGCTATTTCTAATGTAACTTGAGGAGTGGACAAACAACGAAACCGCAAGAGGTTTTTCCTCTCCGCGTACTGGCCATTTCCAACACATCAGAGCATGCCAGCAGATCAGTAGCAAGATTGCATCTGAGTATCTGTTGGGAATTCCTTTGAATAGCTTTCTAAGCCAAGTGGCAATGAATTTGCAATTTCCCTCATACATGCACTGGATCAGAGAATTCTCTCTCTCTCTCTCTCTCTCACACACACACTCACACACACACACACACACATACACACACACACACACCTGTTTGCCTGAATCCAGCCGGCATAAGGCCAGTTTTGCATTCGCATGTTCCAAAACCACAGTTTCGTTTTGGTAATAAATGTGGGATGATGCTAAGCACCAAAGCCATATATATATAGCCCCTCGTTTGATACACAGGCCCTGTCTACATTACTTCCCCTTTTTAAAAGATGAAAGATATTGCAACTATTTAAACACATTTGATTCCCCCCCCCTCAATTTCTTAAAATCTCTTTTAAAATGTAAGTAAGTTAAAAGGTCAAAGTGCTCCTCCCTCGCCTAATAAATGCTATCAAATTGATTATCATCAAAACATTTGTTAAAAAAAAGAAACATTCTCAATAAAGGGCATGTAACCCTGATTAAAAGCTGGGCGTACACTACAGAAGCTCATTTCTTTTATATAGCAAAGAGCCTCAATGCAGAATGCATTTCAGGCCATCTCCGATGCCCATAAAAAAGAAAAAGGATCTGTACCTGTCTCTCTCCCCCCCGCCCCCTGCCGCCAACAATAATCACTGGAGTGCTCCAGATGGGTCCCTTTAGAAAAAGAAAGCATCAGAATGAAGGCTACAAAAACATCAAGCATTTTCCATACTGCTAAGACACATACATGGATACTCAGAGGAGTGTGAAAGCCCTGCTCAGCGTTTTTCTGAAATCTACCCAAAATGTTAGCCAGTAAAAAGAAGACCGCTGACATTCTAGGCGTCGCACTATTACATCAAACTGAAAATTACCTACAAATTGACATTCATTTTGCCATGATTGCTGAATGGAGTTGACGCTTTGCAAGACTTCATTATATCCATTTGAACCCACGTATTACTATGAAAAGGCAGGAATTGCGACAATGGCAAGGCATGCGTTATATATGCTCGGGGTGACTCTGAAGACAGGAAATCATATCCTGGACGGGTTTCCCTTCGTAGCAGATTTGGTAGACAGCAGCAAATAGTGGAAACCTAAAAAACAGACACGAGAGGAAGGCAAACGTTTTACTAGATGGAGAGGAGAAAAGCTAAGAATGCCGAGCATTCAGGATGCATTGATGGCAGAACAAAATTTGATACACAAATCTATCTATCTATATCTATCTATCTATCTATCTATCTATCTATCTATCTATCATCTATCATCTATCTATCTATCTATCATCATCTATCTAGCTATCTATATCTATTTATCTAGGAAAGAGGTTTGTTACTGAAACAGAGCTTGAGGAATGTATATGAATTAATGCAAGAGTTCCTTACGGGACATTTTAGACAACTGTCTATCTATCTATCATCTATCTATCATCTATCTATCTATCTATCTATCTATCTCTATCTATCATCTATCTATCTATCTATCATCTATCTATCTATCTATCATCTATCTATCTATCTATCTATCATCTATCATCTATCTATCTATCTATCTATCTATCTATCTATCTATCTATCTATCTATCTATCTATCTATCTATCTATCTATCTATCTATCTATCTATCTATCTATCTATCTATCTATCTATCTATCATCTATCTATCTATCTATCTATCTATCTATCTATCTATCTATCTATCATCTATCTATCTATCATCTCTCTCTCTCTCTCTCTCTCTATCATCTATCTATCTATCTAATCTATTATCTAGAGAAGAGGTTTGTTGCTGAAACAGAGCTTGAGGAATGTATATGAATTAATGCAAGAGTCATTTATGGGACATTTTAGACAACATCTAACAAAAAAATTCATCTCCCCAGAAAAATTAGTTGTAGATGCTGGGGTCGCCAACTCAGGGCTGAGCTTTCTTCCCCCACCCCACCCTACTTCCTAACCCTTCCAGAAAGTTAGGAAGCAAAATATGCATGTATCCTAAGCTATTTCTGTAAAATGAGCCAACCTGGCTGCTTCCACCTGTCAGTGTTTTCAGACAATGAGTGAAGTGGGAGCTGTGATTGGTAAGTGAGTTCTCTGGACATCAGGCCATAGGAATCTCCAGGGTCCTGAAGAGCTGCTATTGTCCCATCCCCTTTAGCAAACTTCTTTTCTCTGTAGTTTGCCCTTTCCCCTAGCAAGCAGGGGATGCATCTTTCCCGTGGTGGGTTTGTCTGAGATCAGGTAGATCCCTAGAAGTTATTTTGTGCAAACGCTATGACACAATAAGCACGGGTGGATGTTAAATAATCTGCCCTCCTCCTTCAAAGGCAAGTGTGAAATCTTTGCAATGAGGCTTAGGAAAAGGTAAAGGGACCCCTGACAATTAGGTCCAGTCGTGACCGACTCTGGGGTTGCGGAGCTCATCTCGCTTTATTGGCCGAGGGAGCAGGCATTTGTCCACAGACAGCTTCCGGGTCATGTGGCCAGCATGACTAAGCCGCTTCTGGCGAGCCAGAGCAGCACACGGAAACACCGTTTACCTTCCCGCTGGAGAGGTACCTATTTATCTACTTGCACTTCATGCTTTCGAACTGCTAGGTTGGCAGGAGCAGGGACCGAGCAACAGGAGCTCACCCCATCGCAGGGATTAGAACCGCTGACCTTCTGATCAGCAAGTCCTAGGCTCTGTGGTTTAACCCACGGCGCCACCCGCGTCCCACAATGAGGCTTAGGCTGCTATTAAGAACGTGCCCATTTGTTTGCTGCCATTCCTGGGAACCGGGTATCTTTTTCGTTTGTGGCAATAAAAATGCTGCCTTGGACTCATTGAGCAAGGTAAGCATACCGTGTTGCTGTTACTAACACCAGACAGGGCTGGATCTAACACAAATCCTCCTGCAAACTTACGTAGTCTTTCCATTTGAGGAAGGAACTTCAGTTTGGCGGAGGCTTTTGTAAACAGAGCTGAGAAGTCAGTTTTCCTCAATTCCACCTTATACCTGTAGCCACCTCTAACATCATCCCTCAATCCTCCAGGGCCGATTTTCAGATGCAGGGGGAACTGCCTAACATAGTCTCCCCACCTTCTCCTTATGGTAGCCAAATGTGCCCTGTTCCACAAGCAGAGTTCTGCTCATGGATCTCCTTGTTCCTTCTAGGAACAAAACAAATCTTGTTTTTTTAGGATTAAGCCCCCAAAATGGACTTTGGACATGTCTGACGCAGTTCTCTTCCTTGCATCCTGCTGGGTGTTAAAAGATTGGAACAGATAAAACAAGAATACCGAGAACTGAGTTGGCATAAGTGGGAGGGCCAAACATTTTTCAACTCTTTTTTTTTTGGGGGGGGGAGCCAAGAACAAGAGCAGAAAACCAAATTCAGTGGGAGCTTTCAAGTTCCTCCAATAAGCTACTATGCGCATCTTGTTCCTTGGTAAAACTACAACAGCAACCTGTAATATAGAAAAGATGACAACCCAAGAGAATTGCTTTTAAAGCTGATGGATAAAAGCGGCACTCCTAAAAGGAACTGCCAGTCAAAAGCAACAGTTATTTGGGAGACTAGATTGAACAAAAAGAACAATGAAAAAGTGGGGGAACCACTCGATTTCTAAGGCCTTTTGGTAAAAGTCCCTGGGAATTTCTCATGATTATTCAAAAGCCTATTCCATCATTGGGAGCAGCCATCTATTAAATGCACCAGTACTTGAACACAATGAAACCAGTGCCCATGTTTTCCACCGAGACAGACATGAAGAGACAACTTACATTTTAACTTTACCTTTGCGATGAATCTTTCGTCAATACATTAATGTCATTGGGTTCTGTAGAAATGCTTCTTTTATTTGCATATAAACCAGGCATAGGCAAACTCGGCCCTCCAGATGTTTTGGGACTACAACTCCCATCATCCCTGCCCACTGGTCCTGTTAGCTAGGGATGATGGGAGTTGTAGTCCCAAAACATTTGGAGGGCCGGGTTTGCCTATGCCTGATATAAACAGTGAATCTAATTTAGTGAGAGGCACCATGAGGTAGCTGTTCGTTTATAATAGGGATGGTTAACCTTTTTTTCATTTTCTTTTTGCTCGAGGGCCGCATTCACGCTCAGCCAACTATCTGAGGGCCACATGCTAGCTGTCGGTGTGCTCACCCGCACTTTCAGACACAGACAAGGCACACAAGCCCCCAGCGGATCCATGCAGACTATTTTCCCCAACCCTGCTCATCAAATGTTCAAGCCCATGCCAAACTGCATCTCTATCAGGGTACTGGGATATAATTTGCTCTGGAGATTATGTTAAAGAATAATTTGGGGCCAGGGGGAAAACAACCAAAAATAAAGTTACCAGAAGCTAGTGCCAGCATATTTGAGAAGGAAAACATTTCAAAACATGGCTTAAACACGATCTCACTTACTTTTCCACTAATCCTTTCTGTTGAAGAATGCGATACACCTCTGCGGATGTCTGTGGCCCTTGAAGCTTTTGTCCATTCAACATCTCTTGCTCCAATTCTTCAATAGACTGAACAATTTTTTTAACAAAAAAGGTGTATCTTTTAATGATTCATAAGATGTAGATAAGCGATATCTTTTTTTTTTGTTGGGGTGGGGGCAGTGTACCACCTTGGCTACCCCAGATTTACATGTATCCAGGCTAACCCACAAAAGACAGAAATTGCCTTGTTAGATCACACCACTTTGTCTTCAACTATGGACGGTGGCAGCTGTAATCCAGAAACATCTGGAGGGCTGGATGTTCCCCATTCCTGATTTAGAGGGAAAACTTCACAACTCTTTGGACCAAGAGGAGAACCAGTGTAGACTGAACCTAAACAGATCAGTCCATGCCCCAAATCAGAAGAGTGGAGATATGCTCCAAATCCAAAGCTCTATCTATTGCAACAATCCACAGGTTACAGAATCATAGAACTGTAGAATTGGGACTCTCAGGATCATTTAGTCCAGTGATGGCCAAATTTGGCCCTCCAGCTGTTTTGGGACCATAACTCCCATCATCCCTAGCTAACAGGAGCAGTGGTCAGGGATGATAGGAAGTGTAGTCTCAAAACAGCTGGTGGGCTAAGTTTGGCCATCACTGATCTAGTCCAACCCCCTACAATGCAGGAATATGCAGCTATACCATGCTTCCTCAACCTCGGCCCTCCAGATGTTTTTGGCCTACAACTCCCATGATCCCTAGCTAGCAGGACCAGTGGTCAGGGATGATGGGAATTGTAGTCTCAAAACATCTGGAGGGCCGAAGTTGAGGAAGCCTGAGCTATCCCATCCGGGGATCAAACCTGCAACCTTGGCGTTATCGGCACCCCAATCTAACCCAGTGTTTCCCAACCTTGGGTCTCCAGCTGTTTTTTTGGACTACAACTCCCATCATCCCTAGCTAGCAAGACCCAGTGGTCAGGGATGATGGGAATTGTAGTCTCAAAACAACCGGAGACCCAAGTTTAGGAAACTCTGATCTAACCAACTGAGCTATCTAAGCTGTAGAGTACAGTGCTAGATTTACTGAAGGGAGGGGAGAGGGAATCGTAGAGGACACCTTCGGAAAATTCCCTTGCCTCAAACCCTGACTCCGTCCCCCCACCCCAATTTTAAATAAATAATATTGGCCCTCCTGTTCCCTTCCAAAACCAGTTATCTAAGGAGCTCATCACACTAGCTAATGGAGTCAGGTCCGATCTGATACATCCTGCAATGGAACACTACTTAAGAGAATGTTGTGGTTGTCATTATTGTCATCCCAAGACCCCAGCAAATCACCACGAGACCCATGTTGTACTTTTCCCACATGACAGACAATTATTTTACTCTGTGTGTCCACCTGTCACAAGATGGTTCCAAACAACGGAAAAGATTCAAGAGTCAGTCACAGGAAAGCAATTGAGAAGAAGAGCGAGTCCCAGGGACCGTACCTTTCCTGTTTTAACAAACGCTTCGGCCACTCTCCGATTGCGGCCCCCGTAGCACGTGGTGATCAGGTCTGCCACGCCACAGCTCTCCAGGAAAGTGGCAGTGGACACCTGCCCCTTGCAGAAGAACTTTGTGAAGGCAATCATTTCCATCAGCCCAAGCCTAATGACAGCTGCTTTGGTGTTATCGCCGCAGCGGAGGCCATCGCAGAAGCCAGCTCCCACAGCCACAATGTTCTAATGGAGGATTGAGGAGGAGAAGAAAAAAAGGGAGGGGAAAACAACTGTTTGAGAAACAGACTCTGAAGCGGCAAGGAAGGTGGAAGGGCTCTTGCTTAGTGACAGAGCTCACTGGGTGACCTCAGCCTAATCTACCTCACAGGGTTGTTGTGAGTGGATGTGCCTGGGGGAACCATGTGTGCCATCCTAAGCTCCAAGAAAGCAGTAGGAAAGTTTTAAAGCAATGTTAAATGCAAAAAAAGATGTGCAATTCTTATTGATCCCTACTACTCCTGCTCTTATGCCAAGCAAAACACTGACTTGCCCAAGAGAACTCAATGGACTTCACAGTTCTGGACCAGGAAAATAAATCCTCATGCTAGAAATGCTATGTACCGTATTTTTCGCTCTATAAGACGCACCAGACCACAAGATGCACCTGGTTTTTGGAGGAGGAAAACAAGAAAAAAAATATTCTGAATCTCAGAAGCCAGAACAGCAAGAGGGATCGCTGCGCAGTGAAAGCAGCAATCCCTCTTGCTGTTCTGGCTTCTGTGATAGCTGCTCAGCCTGCATTCGCTCCAAAAGACGCACACACATTTCCCCTTACTTTTTAGGAGGGAAAAAGTGAGTCTTATAGAGCAAAAAATACGATAAATGATCAGGCACATCGCCAAAATGATGTAGCGTGCTTAAAATCCCCACCCTGGCTCCAGGATACAGAGGCTACAAAGCTTCCTCTTTGAGACAGAGAGCTCTGTAATGTTCCATCCCCATTTGGTAGCAGCTTACAGCATTTCACTGCACCACTTAGATCAACTTGTTATCGTCATAGGATCATAGAGTTGGAAGCAACCATGAGGGTCGTCTAGTCCAACCCCCTGCAATGCAAGAATCTGTTCCCCAGTGTCAGGGTACTGCCGTCGGAACAGGGTAGGGAAGCAGAGGGGCAGCTGGGTTACAGGGAACCTCCGAAAATCTTGCGAAGCAGTTCCTCTTCTGGTGGTGAGGAAAGCCACACCTCCAGTGGGGAAGAGGGTAAAGGACCAGAGGATGCTGCTGGGACCCTCAGCACCGCTCCTGGTCAAGCCGGCCAGGAGGGAAGCACGCCCCTTCCATCGCCCACCCTGCGCAGAGGTGTAAAACACAAAGAAGGAAGGAAAAGGCTGGGGGTGACGAAGCTCTTATGTTGGGGGAGGACCCAGAAACGCCCACTCCCAGATTCTGCTAGCGATTGAGGCAGACATGAACTTGTGGCTCTGCACTGTAAATCAGTGTTTCCCAACCGGTGTTCCGCGGCACACTAGTGTGCCGCCAGACGTTGCCTGGTGTGCCGCGAGATGTTGCCTGGAGGGAGTCGGGCGAGTTGGGCGGCGAGAGGCGGGGCGGCGGGCAGCTCGTAGAGGAAGCGCGACGCCCCGGGAGCAGCCATGGCCCCCCGGCCCCGACTGCCACTCTCTGCGCCCTCCGCGCCCCGGGCCAGGCCATAGGAGAGCCGGGCGCCGACGACGGAGGAGGCCGGCCGCGGGAAAGGGGCCACTTCCCCTTTAAATGCCGCTCCGGGCGGGGGAGGGAAGCGGCCCTCCGCCGCGCCGCTCTGCGCCACAGGCCCCGGGGAAGAGCGCTTCGCAGGACTCGCGGGCCAGGCGGAGCCACCTCGAGCGCCACCCAAGCGGGCGTCTCTATAGTGACGGACCCGCCCTTTCCGCTGCCCTCCCACGCTGCTCTGGCTCCGCCTAGCGGCCCGAGGAGGAGCCGCGCAGCCTGTCGCTGCCGCCCCCGCGGAGCCTGAGGCGAAACGCGCAGGGGCCGCCGCCGCGCCGAAGCCTCCCTTCCGGGGTCCCCTCGGGGCCATTGGGCGGGGCTGTCGCCTCCTGGACGCCGCAGCCCCGAGCTCGTGGATGTAAACCGAGAGATGGACTTGCTTGGGAGGAAGTTCCGTTGTACCAGCGGGAGTTATTTCCTAGTAAATATGAAACACTTGGGGATATTAGGTTGAGACTGAGGGGAGCGTGGCTGGTAGCCCGAAACATCCGGAGGGCGCAGGGCTGGCGAAGGCTGGGGGAGCACGAGACTTCGACAGTCTTTTCAGTATGTTACAACATAAAACTGCTGGAGCAAGTTAACATATTTTGTTACCTTGTGCATTAAAAGGACCGTATGTAAGAATATAAGTGGGTTTGCTTCGTTCCATAGGATTCACACCTCAGAGTGCAATGGCAGGCAGATCTTAGAGCCAGCTTCTGTCTATGTATCTGAAACCTGTTCTGCCCCCTCCCCCACACTTGGTGCCATTTTCATCTACACATGCAGCAGAGTAAGTTGACCCAGAATAGTACCAATTCAGATGGCAGATGGGAGAATGACAGTGCTGAATGCTTTCCCATGTAGAACAGTCCCTGCAAATAAAAACCTAGCATATTTGGAAGAGGGATGCTAGCCTAACCATTACCTTCTATGCTGTTACTATTTTTTTATTTTTTTTTACATAAGTAAAAAGTGACCTTTCCCCATCTGGCATGGTGGTGTGCCTCGAGATTTTTTTCATGAAACAAGTGTGCCTTTGCCCAAAAAAAGTTGGGAAACACTGCTGTAAATAGTTTTGCACCAAAATAAAACCTGTAAAAGACAGGTCGGAGTCCTGACTGGTTACTCACGAGCAACCAGCATTGCCATCTGACACCCAGCATGGGAATTGAACCCACAACCCTGAGAATCAGAGTCTTGTGCTCTATCGAATGAGCTATCCCAGCAGACACCGAGATGACAGCTATGCATGCAAAAAGGCCCACGTTCAATCCGATCTCTCCAGTTCAATCAAATACCTTTGCCTGAGGTCTTGGCATTCTGCTGCAAGACCAATGGTCCGATTCTTCGCAAAGTAGCATCATATGCTCGTGATGTAAATACCGTGGAGATATCTATAGCTGTCCGAGACCGGCTTTCCCATTCAGACTGCCCATAGCTCAGGGAGACAGGCAGTGGATCACAAGGTTGAGCTCAGATTCAATGAACCGCAGAGAACTTTGCCGGGAATGAAATAAATTCAGAATAGATGGCCAACGTGCACCTTGGCAAGCTTAGCTGAGAGCTGGTGTGAATAATGGATTGTCGCTTGCATTCCCTCATTTCCAGGGCATGGAACAGCCAGAAACTAAGCTCTTCAACAGCAGAGGAAGTGCAGACATATATTTACAGTGCTGTACATCGCATAATTGCTGCTGTTACCCAATTACCCTAAAAGAATCTGGCAGCATTTCACGTTAGTATGGAACAGCAGCAAATCTGCAAACTCAAAAGGGAGCCTACACACAGCAGGAATGAATGGGTGAGAGAATAGCCTGGAGAGGGAGGTACAAGTAGTGAGTCTGACCTTAAAGAAAGCACTTTCCATCTCTCTGGAATAAAATGTTGCTTATATGAAAAGATTCAGTACCATCACTCCCCCTGATGACCAACTTGCAGGCGTTCAGGAGGCTGAAGAGCAGAGTGCTAGAAAATTTGTGTGTGGTCCAGCACAGCTACATATCTTCCAGAACTACCGTATTTTTCGCTCCATAGGGCGCACCGGACCATAGGGCACACCTAGGTTTTTTTGGGGGGGGAATAAAGGGAAAAAAATTATTCGCTCCATAGGATGCACACACATTTCCCCTTCATTTTTGGGGTGGAAAAAGTGTGTCCTATAGAGCGAAAAATACGGTAGCTCTCAGCAGCACCAGGATAGCCTTGGGCCACAAGAGAATGAGCAAAGTGTTGCGTCAAGGAGTTCACTGGAAAATGATGCTGCAGGTAATGAAGAAGAGTGATGTTCCTGCTGGAAGGACTGAAAAGGGTGGCGGAAATGGGATTGTGCATCCTAATTGTCTCTCTCCAGCAGGTATTTTTTTGGCAGTAAAGGGGAACTTTACTGAAAAAAAGCAGAGACATCACCTTGCCAAAAAAGGTCCATATAGTTAAAGCTATGGTCTTCCCAGTAGTGATGTATGGAAGTGAGAGCTGGACCATAAAGAAGGCTGATCGCCGAAGAATTGATGCTTTTGAATTCTGGTGCTGGAGGAGACTCTTGAGAGTCCCATGGATCAAACCTATCCATTCTTAAGGAAATCAGCCCTGAGTGCTCACTGGAAGGACAGATCCTGAAGCTGAGGCTCCAATATTTTGGCCACCTCATGAGAAGAGAAGACTCCCTGGAAAAGACCCTGATGTAAGGAAAGATGGAGGGCACAAGGAGAAGGGGACAACAGAGGACGAGATGGTTGGATAGTGTTCTCGAAGCTACCAGCATGAGTTTGACCAAACCGCGGGAGGCAGTGGAAGACAGGAGTGCCTGGCGTGCTCTGGTCCATGGGGTCACGAAGAGTCGGACACGACTAAACAACAACAACAACAAAAGGGGAATTGGGACGCAAAGACACCAATTCTGCTCTGTATATCCTTTTAGCCCTTTCGCACAGCAGGTGGAAATGTCCCTGGGGTCTCCTGTACTGCGGCCCCTTGAACTGGCTGAGGCCAAATAATCCTATTGGCTGCAAAGGAGAGGTGACCCACTATCACTGCCAAAGAGTGTGCGCAGGAGGGGGCAACAGGAACTCACTGTAAAGGAATGAAAGAATAAAGTTTACTTGGACCTTCACTCTCCTTCTCTCCCTCTAACTGCCGTTCCCTATTTGCTCTCGCATATTGCGGAAGGAAGGGTTTCAAATCACTGAAAGACCTACATTGGCTCGCAGTACGTTTCCGAGCACAATTCAAAGTGTTGGTGCTGAACTTTAAAGCCCTAAACGGCCTCGGCCCAGTATACCTGAAGGAGCGTCTCCACCGCCATCATTCAGCCTGGACACTGAAGTCCAGCTTCCGAGGGCCTTCTAGTGGTTCTCTCATTGTGAGAAGCGAAGTTACAGGGAACCAGGCAGAGGGCCTTCTCGGTAGTGGCGCCCACCCTGTGGAACACCCTCCCACCAGATGTCAAGTAAATAAACAACTATCTGATTTTTAGAAGACATCTGAAGGCAGTCCTATTTAGGGAAGTTTTAAATGTTTGATCTTTTATTCTGTTTTTAAAAATCCTGTTGGAAGCCGCCCAGAGTGGCTGGGGAGGCCTGGGCAGATGGGCGGGGTATAAGTAATTAATAAACAACAACTCTTGGTGCCACGTACAAGAAGAAGCCTCTATCGCACACAGATGTTCAGATCTTACTATGAAAGTTTTAAATCTATCTCTAGTGGATCTGAAGTGTGGCACTTCTCCACTCTCTTAAAAAGAAGGGAAATGTATCGCTTTCAAAAGTACTCATGCATGCTTTTCACCAGATTGGTCCCTAAGCAATGAAAATGGCCAGTGCACAAAACAGGCAGGAAGCTCTTGTTGCCGGGCACTCGTTTCTAGTGCCTTGTATCTATGGCACCAGTATGAATGATAACAATCTAACACATCTGTTATTTTTTAAAAATGGGGGAAATCTATTTGCAGAGCCTTTTAGCTGCATCTGTATCTCCACCAGCTTGTTGCCAGACATGATAAAAATACATCCAGTGGAAGCGGATATGCAGCAGATGTTCTTTCATCATCTTCCAGCTGCAATCATTATAGGCACTGCATTTAGATGTGCTTTTAAGCAATGTCATGAGCTAAAAATTATCATGATTGGCACATGAATCCCACCTGCAAAATTTATTTATTTTTTGTGCTTGATTCAGTCCTCAGGCAGCTATCCTTAGGGAAACCTTCCCTGTTTTTAGAAAAAGAAGGTAAAGGGACCCCTGACCATTAGGTCCAGTCGTGACCGACTCTGGGGTTTTGGCGCTCATCTCGCTTTACTGGCCGAGGGAGCCGGCGTACAGCTTCCGGGTCATGTGGCCAGCATGACTAAGCCGCTTCTGGCGATCCAGAAACGCCGTTTACCTTCCTGCCGGAACGCTACCTATTTATCTACTTGCACTTTGACGTGCTTTCGAACTGCTAGGTTGGCAGGAGCAGGGACCGAGCAACGGGAGCTCACCCCGTTGCGGGGATTCGAACTGCCGACCTTCTGATCGGCAAGTCCAAGGCTCTGTGGTTTAACCCACAGCGCCACCTGCGTCCCTATTGAAAAAGAAGAGCCAATTAAAAAGGGTGGGGCACGCATCCCACAAAACAGATATGCGAGTGCAAGGAGTTTTGGCTCTGCAAAATAACTTCCCCTCCCTCTCCTATCCTGATGCACCCAACTAAATTTGTTCCGTACTTTCCCCCAACCCACTGGAACAGATTTGGGGAGAACACTGAGGTATATGCAGGGAGGAGAAGGTCTGTTGCACAAGCCGAAATCCTTCTGCTACTGGATCTATTTAGTCAGATTTATTTAGTCCAGCAACAACCAATGGGACAATGTTGGTGGTACTCATTTGATACTTAAGGGCTTCGGAGTATTGCCCCGTGCCTGTTTCTCTGGTGCTCACCTTTTGAAATCCAGCCTGCAGATAAGAGAGCCAAATGCAAACGAAAAACGTAACATCTTCACATATTAGGAAGTGACCCTACCACCAAACCCTTTTACAAAGAAATAAAGTCTATGTTTGGGTCACTGTCCCAAGCTTGGCTAGATTCTTCTGCTTTGGCACAAAGGAGACAGTTCTTGGGACTACAACTCCCATAATCCCTGTCCACTGGCCCTGCTGGCTGGAGTTGATGTGAGTTGGAGTCCAACAATTTCGGGAAGGCCGCAGGCTTCCCCATCCCTACCCTTGTGGTTTGTTTGGGGGTTCTTGCTGCATAGGAAGAGCGGAAGATCTTGAGTATGGCATCACAGTACTTCCCCTCGGACACAAAATATGAGGAAGCCATCTGAGAGAAGGCAAGCTGGGTGGAGTTTTGTCATCACCCTCTAACAGAGCTCTAGGATCAAGCGGAAGCAAGCATCAGGTGTTGGCCTAGTACCCAACTTCCCATAGCTCTCTGCTCTCTAGTTTTAGGGTTGTTGTTTTTTAGCTTTTAATGTCATCCCTGCCCAAAAACAAATATTACCTTAAGAGCACCGCAAAGCTCAACAGTATCGGCATCGTCCACCACAGTTATTCGGAAGTTTGGAGTCTGGAGAAGTTCTTTGAAGAGGAAGCCATTCTCCAAAATTTTGCAGCCTGTTATTTTGGGGTGTGGAGGTGAAGGGCAAAAGGAGAATTGTCAGCTTTATTTTAGCTAGCATGCTGGCTTTTTAGAAACAAGACAGAACTGTTCAGAACTAGGTACTAGGCAACTCTTCATGTCTACTTTTATATCCTTTAAAGCCCTTGATCAGGCATATACTGTATCACCCCAAATATAAGCCACACTCCCCCCCCCCAAATTCTGACCATAAAAAGTTAAAGTGCAGCTTAAATTCACGACCTTACAAAAATTATCTTTTACGATATCACTGCTGAAACAGACATAAGGTAAAACGGAACAAAAAAAAAAAGTTTTATTGCCGATTTGCAAGCTTGAGACTGTTCATTTGCCATTTACGGGTGTGAGTGCCTGTGGAATTGTAGCAACTGAATAGCGATTTGCTATTTTAGCGACTGTGCGGTAACTTTTGCCGGGTTGCAAGATGAAAGGCTTAAATTGGCTCGGAGTTACAATTCTACCAACCGCAGCGATTTTCAGCCTGTAACCCGATTTTAAGGGAGCGGCTTATCTTCGGTTATTGCCTTTTTTTCTCCCCTCCCCCACTTGAATTTAAAAGTGTGTCTTATTTGCGGATGCGGCTTATATTCCGGCCAATACGGTACTTTCTCAACTTTCCTCCGTAGAATGCAAAGTGGGCTTACAATCCTGCGAGGGACGACAGGCCTAGAGACAGTGACCTGGGCTCAAGGCCCATCCAGTACACCTCATGACTTGAACCCAAGTCTTCTCAACATGGTCTGTCGCCTATCCAAGAGCCAGATGCACTATCAAAAACGCTCTGCTGCAAAGCCTTCCCTGCACATAAGGGCTCTTAAAGTGAGAGGACCTGGATCATACCAGTGCCTTACGGGATGCTGAAGACAAGCCTGATAGAGAAATCCATGGGCCAAAAGATGCCTACAATAACCTAGTAGGGCTTTATATAATTTGGCCCACTCCTGCTCTATTTTAATAAAATTCCAGGTACGATCACAAAGATATTAATGAAGCATGACTCTGTTTTTCAGTAGACTGTGTCTTCCATCCAAATTGATATCTTATATACATAAAGGTAAAGGTAAAGGGACCCCTGACCATTAGGTCCAGTCGTGGCCAATAAAGCTCAACTCGCTTTATTGGCCGAGGGAGCCGGCGTACAGCTTCCGGGTCATGTGGCCAGCATGACTAAGCCGCTTCTGGTGAACCAGAACAGCGCATGGAAACGCCATTTACCTTCCTGCCAGAGTGGTACCTATTTATCTACTTGCACTTTGACGTGCTTTCGAACTGCTAGGTTGGCAGGAGCTGGGACCGAGCAACAGGAGCTCCCCCCGTCGCGGGGATTCGAACCGTCGACCTTCTGATCAGCAAGTCCTAGGCTCTGTGGTTTAACCCACGGCGCCACCCGCGTCCCATCTTATATACATAGGTCCCCCATAAAAACAATTTTTAAAAACTCAACTAGGAATATATAATTATAGATTATAAGCACGCCCCTTCTTCAAGCATGTTATTCACCCCTGCGCAAGACGTCACTGTAATTTCCTGGATCTCTACCATTCCTAAGGGTAATCTACAGAGGAATCAAATTCTACCATTTGCGTCTTGGGTGAAGGATGGGATAAAAAAGGTCATAAATAAAAGAGGATTGGTACCAGATGACAACAGGGAGAAGACCCTATATAAAGCATCCTAAAAAAATTACCTATTGTGGTTTCACAGAACTTCTCTGCTGCTACTTCATTGGCAATATTTGCTCCCATCAGCACACTGATGTCTATTCCCATTTTCTCTCGGATGATGTCAGATATGAGTTTGAGACCCTCTGGACCTTCGTCTATTCCCTGCAGTAAACATTAAAAGGTAACCACTGTAGTCAGTTATCAACATCGGACAGAAGACTGATAATTATCCTCACAAGTGGATGAAATTCTGCCTATATGCCATCTGGGTGGAATCTACACACATATTAAAAAACGCTGTGAAAATGCTTGGTTTTAAAACAGTTTGAAAAATACACTGAATTTTTGCATAGCTCACTTTCACCATCTAGTGTCACATTTGCATATTGCACTTTAAAAGGTAAAGGTAAAGGACCCCTGACAGTTAAGTCCATTTGCGGATGACTCTGGGGTTGCGGCACTCATCTTGCTTTACTAGCCGAGGGAGCCGGCGTTTGTCTGCAGACAGTTTTTCCGGGTTATGTGGCCAGCATGACTAAGCCGCTTCTGGCGCAACGGAACACCAAAACCAGAGCAGTGCAAAGAAACTCCGTTTATCTTCCCGCTGGAGTGGTACCTATTTATCTACTTGCACTTTTTTGGCGTGCTTTCAAACTGCTAGGTTGGCAGGAGCTGGGACAGAGCAACAGGAGCTCACCCTGTTGCAGGGATTCGAACTACCGACCTTCTGATCGGCAAGTCCAAGAGGCTCAGTGGTTTAGCACCCATAGTACGCTTTACAACACATTTAAAACGTTTCATTTTAACGTGTAGCTGAGTCCATAGATTAGGCCGAATCCTTAGAACTGCAATGACCATTTAAAAGCTGTGAGTTTTTTGTTGTGTTTTTTTAAATAAAAAAATCAGAATTCATAAACTGCTTTGCAGAGAAGACCCAAGTGATGTGCAGAAATGAAAAACAAAACACAACACAAATCAAGAAGCAGTGTTAAAACATAAAAATCAACAATGAACAAATTCAGAAATAAAATAGGAGCAATCTGAGAATGCTAGGGGGGAAATAAATGTTTCCAGCAGCATCAAAAACAGAACAATGTAGGGCTTGCTTCACATCTAAGGGAAGAAAATTCAAGAGGGAGGGTGCCACAGCGCTGCAATGATGAGCTCCAATCACAGCATGTTTGCCACAGGGGTGTGTGGCATTACGCCACAGCATCACTGACTCGCCATCTTTACATAATTACATGATGCACAGCGCTTTTCAGAACTCAAAACTACTGATCCAAATGAGCTGGATCTACATTGCCGTAAATCTAGGGATTATACATCTCTTTGGTGCTTCAGAATTGTTTTTGTTCAACAGCCCATTGAACAATTCCAAAGGACTCCTTGACACCAAAGTAAGGCTTGTATCTGTTGTACCTTAATGAGAGTTATACCGACAGCTTTCTTGGCTACGCGCCCCGTGATCTCATCGCAAATTTTATGAATGAACTGGTGGGGAATGACAAAAACCAGCAAGTCTGCGTCTTGCACGGCATCCTTCAGATTTGGGACAGCAACCTATGGAAATTTATTCAAGGGAGGAAGAAAGGGAGAGATGAGAAAGAGAGAAGAAAGAAGACATTTCTCTCAATGCGCCGATTTTATTCTGTTTGTAGAAATGCTTTGTTTTATTATTATAATGGCCGTACAATTTAAAGATTTTAAACTAGCACAGATTAAAACTAAGCACAGATTGGTTCTACTATTCCAAAAGCGACTCTTTTGTTGGCTGGCTTCAACCATTGGCAAATGCATCCAGCTGGAATTGCAGAAAACTTATTTGCACAGCAAATATTTTATACTGCCAAGAAGCTAATACCTTGCAGTGCTATCTAGTATACTGGTCTTCATGTGGCTTGTATTGTTTGCTGTAAGAAGCTAATACCTGGTAAACCAACTGATAATAACAGCAAATTTCAAGTATAAAGGCACAAGCAAATTTGGAACTCATTCCCACCCAATGTAAACTAGCAAAGTATTATTATTATTATTATTATTAACTCAATTTGTAATATTTTTTTGCCAAATAATATTTATTAGTTTTCCAAATTTTAAACAAACCAATGGCAAATTACATCAAATTTCTATACTGCCCTTCATCCGAAGATCACAGGGCAGTTTACAATATAAAAACAGGAAAATAAAGTTTCTGATTGCTTCTAAAGTTGGAAACAGAATTAAGTAAGATACCATTTACGTCGTATTTGGGGAAATCTAATACTTATTGCGAATAGTAAATGGTTACTATTCTCTGTGGGTTGGAATCAGAGGTTTATGAGCAGAATTTCACTCACAGAATGGAAACAATTTCTGTCCTCTCCTCCCCTAGTTAGCCCCCTCATGCCTCAAGGAAAATCAGCTCCAGATTGTTGGTGCAACTTCCAGGAAAAAAACTTGTTTTGCGATGCAGCACAGCAGAGAAACAATCTTCTCTCAATTCTATGAATGGAAGGCCTGCCAGACCCAGGTCCCTTCCACAAATGGCAGGTCTCCTTCTGTTCACTGGGAGGACACATTGGGTTCCAATTTTTCGGTAGTGGCGCCCGCCCTGTGGAACGCCCTCCCATCAGATGTCAAAACGATAAACAACTACCTGACATTCAGAAGACATGTTAAGGCAGCCCTGTTCAGGGAAGTTTTTAATGTATGATATTTTAGTGTTTTTTGGTTTCTATGGAAGCCGCCCAGAGCGGCTGGGGAAACCCAGCCAGATGGGCGGGGTACAAATAATAAATTATTATTATATTATTATTATTTTGCAAATGACTGACAGCTATTATTTTGGAATTTAACAAAACGTAAATGTGAATAAGAGCTTTGGTTCTTTTACTTTAAGCCTATTATCTTTACTATGCGTCGTTCCTCTCCTCGCACAAAAACCAGGTTCTGAAGAAGTTTGTTAGTTGGGTCCAATGGGGTTGGACCCACACTAAAGTCACATCTGCATTTAAAGCTCTCTTATTTCACTTCAACAGGCATAGCTTCCCCCAAAGAATCCTGGGAACTGTAGTTTGCTAAGGGTGCTGCGATTTGTTAGGAGACCCCTTATTCCCCTCACAGAACTACAATTCCCAGTGGTTGAGCAGTCAATCCCTCTTACCAGAGAACTCTGGGAAATGCAGCAGTGTGAGGGGAATAGTAAAACTTTTAAAACAATACCTTTAGAATAGTAAAATGCTTAAAATAAAGATAGATAACTAATATATATGTCTTACCACATTGTCTGGAAGCTTGTGTCCAGGGAGATATTTTACATTCTCATGATCATTGTTTATAATATCGGTTAATTTCCGTCCATCAATGTTTTCCTCAAAAACCCACATTTTCACTGTAGAAGCGAACTTTTGCAGCGTTTTTACATTGTTGCCTATTATTTTAGCCACAGCAGAACCCCTGTAATAAATAGAGAAAAGATGACACCTTATTAAATATGCCACATTAAAACAGAGGGCTTGCCGATCAGAAGGTTGGTGGTTTGAATCTCCGTGATGGAGTGAGCTCCCATTGCTCAGTCCCAGCTTCTGCCAACCTAGCACTTCGAAAGCATGCCACTGCAAGTAGATAAATAGGTACCGCTGCAGCAGGAAGGTAAATAGCATTTCCGTGCGCTCTGGTTTCCGTCATGGTGTCCTGTTGTTCCAGAAGCGGTTTAGTCCTGCTGGCCACATGACCTGGAAAGCTGTCTGTGGACAAACGTTGGCTCCCTCGGCCTGAAAGCGAGATGAGCACCACAACCCCATAGTCGCCTTTGCCTGGACTTAACTGTCCAGGGGTCCTTTACCTTTTTCCAAACTACAATCCCTATCAGCCCCAGCAAGAATGGTACCAGAACTGAGTTCTGGCTGGGGGGAAAAGCCCTGTTTTTACCGGTACTTCTATTCCTCCTCATTTCACTTCACTGAGAGCTGAAAAGCAACTTGTGCAAGGGATAACAAAAGTAATCTAAACCATCGTATCAACAACAATCACATTTACCCTTCATCAGACTTACATTGGAAAGTCAACTCCTTATTTCCTTGATGTATACTAGCAGAACATTTGTAACGCACAAGGTCCAACGCTAAGAAAATTCTTGTATGGTTCGGGTCGGCAACCTAAGGCCCATGGGCCACAAGTGGCCCACGGGGGTCATTTAACTGACTCCCAAACCACCCCCGAAATGAGCCGCCTGCTTGGCGAGTCCCCATGCGCTGTGCTAAACTGGCGCAGCACAGCGCAGGGACTCGCTTCTGTGGCACCAGAAATTGCACTCCTATGCACACCCCTGGTTAGTGTATGCAAAACTCTGTGCCTACTGCAGCCCAATTACACGGGCAAACTGCACAGCAAGGCATTTTGCATTAAGCACTAGTTTGGCACCTTCGGTGAGGAGGTTAAACTTCTTCAGCTGATAAGCAAGGTAATTTGAGAAGCATAAAATTCTGCCCCACTGCAGCGTTTAAATTTATGCCCTTTGAACAATGACAAGTTGCCTCAAAGTCACGGACACTCATGCCTGAAGCTTTGTATCATAAGGCAGAGCACTTTTATGTTCTCAACTTGCCTCCAGTCATTCTGTACTTGTCACATGTCTTTTATATGTTAAGGATAATAAGGACTGGTATTTAAACTGCATGTGCTTTCTTTGACGCAAGGCCCCACTCAGCCACGAGGCAACGGATATATTTAAAAAATGCATCTGTTAAGAGACTTCTTCTGTCTTACGTGTGCAACTGTCTCTTTCACACACAACTCTCTTTCATGACTTCTGCCTAGGAAGTGTCACATGGAGCTAGAATAAATTTAGAAATAGAAGAGGTCCGAAATAATGAAGGCTTTTATAGATCACTAAAACAACACACTGAGGATACAGCTCCTTTCTTCTTCTTCTTCTTCTTAGTATCAGCTGCCTTAAAAGGGGGGGGGGCGGGACTCCTGTGGAAACAGATGAAACATTGACACTTTATACTGCTCTAAATGCAAGACTATCAAAGCCACTGGATTTTAATTTGAAAATTATGCGCTCTCTTGGGTGTGGTAGGTAGCTGGCAAAATCCATTGCTAGGGAAGCAATCAATGAATCAATTCTTTCTTATCAGGAGATATTTTTCCAGTGTTTTGCAGTGATTAAAGTCCAGGCATCCCCAACCTTCAGCCCTCCAGATGTTTTGGACTACAATTCCCATCATCCCTGACCACTGGTCCTGTTAGCTAGGAATCATGGGAGTTGTAGTCCCAAAACATCTGGAGGGCCGCAGGTTGTGGGATGCCTGTCATAGACTTTCAAACTACCGCTAGGTTCAAATCACTCAGTCACGAAGCTCACTTAATGACTCTGGACAAACCACTAACCATGTTGGTATGTCATGCTAAGCCAAACAGTGACTTAGCTTGAATGCACTGTGTAAAACAATTACCGAAACAGCTGTTAATATTCGTAGCTTAATATATTTAAATTAAACTGAATGATGCAAGGCAAGGCAAATACCAGCAGTTCCTAAAATTAGGGTTATGTGCACGTACTTGTCAAATCCTTAATTGGAAGAACTAATGTTCAGGGTGTGCTGAGAGAGTTTCCAAGGCCCCCCCCCCAATTGGTTGATCTCTTTGGAAATACATTAACCTGTTGCATGCCAAGGATCAGCATTTGTAACCACCTTGGGGTTGTTGTTTTTTTTGTATTTCCACAATTGGGAACCTCTTTTTGCTTGTCTGTCCCAACGTGTATTTGCTCTACCTCAGATATTTTGCACATTTAAGATTGAAACAAACAATTAAACAGGGCTTAAGACCTCAGTCTCACTCAAAAATACACTTTCCCTATTCAAATTCCTTGTGGACATCCAACAGAGGAAAAGCCCCGTGTGACTTAAAATATTGCGTTGTGCATTGTGAACGTGAGTTTGCCCTCATAAAAGCTATATGATAAATTTTGTTCCAACAGGCCAATATATAAAATAGGTCAACATTGCTAAGCTTTGACCAATACGCTACCTGTAAAAAAATGGAATAACGTATTCACGTAGAGCCTTTACAGCAAAGGAAACAAAACAAACAGATAAGGCACCCATGTTAAAAAGCAGTCGTGTTACTGAATATATTTACAGTGGTACCTCGGTTTACGAACTTAATCCGTTCCGGAAGTCCATTCTTAAACCAAAACCATTCTTAAACTGAGGTACACTTTCCCTAATGAGGTCTCCTGCTGCCAGCGCCCTTCCACCGTTTGGCTTCCGTACGTAAACCAAGGTAAAGTTCTCAAACACTACTTCCAGTTTTGTGGAGTTCTTAAACCGAACAGTTCGTAAACAGGGCTGTTCGTAAACCGAGGTACCACTGTACTGCAGTATCACGATGGCAATGGATGAAAGCAAGTAACCAGTATAGGAACACAAAATTGCAAAATAGCGGACCAGCTTCTCCCATTTCCTCATTCCCAGTGTGTGCTGTGTAGTTTTGCAACTCTCTCTAAAATGATTTTTGACAGCTCCTACAAGTGACCACGAAATAAAGTTTTGTCTCTGCAAGTTTGAAATGGGGCTCATGTAAAACTTATGCCCTTCAGGAAACAAAGTCAGCACTAATCTGCTGCCAACATTGAGCAATTTGAACAGGCTCTGTCAGCTGACATTGCAGAAGATATCTCAGTGGGTGGAAGACAAAAAGCAGGTTAAAAATATCCCACTATTCTGCCTGGACATAAACACACCTCCCCCCTTTTTAAAATAAAGTACAGTGGTACCTCAGGTTACATATGCTTCAGGTTACATATGTTTCAGGTTACAGAGTCCGCTCACCCAGAAACATTACCTCGGGTTAAGAAGTTTGCTTCAAGATGAGAACAGAAATCGTGCTCCGGCGGTGTGGCAGCAGCAGGAGGCCCCATTAGCTAAAGTGGTGCTTCAGGTTAAGAACAGTTTCAGGTTAAGAATAGACCTCCGGAATGAATTAAGTACTTAACCCAAGGTACCACTGTATATCGCAATGTTTAGCTGGTGATATATCACAATGTTGAAAACCAGATACCACCCAGCTCTATCCTCCTCCTCTGTAAACAGACCAAAACATGATCCAGGTTCCTTGAAGAGCAATCTGAACTGCTCCCCTCCCCGCAAAAAGCTGCTCCATTCGAAGGGATAAAACTGCTATCCCAGTAATATCTCTGTTGGATTTGAACTTGTTTTTATATATGTATTTTTTCTAGGCTTTATTGTATTGTAGAATTGCTTTGAGGTGCTTCACAGGAAGCAATTTGAAATATCAATTATACATAAAGCCATACACTAAGCTTAATAATAATAATAATATTTGTACCCCACCCATCCGGCATAAAGGTAAAGGTAAAGGGACCCCTGACCATTAGGTCCAGTCGTGACCGACTCTGGGGTTGCGGCGCTCATCTCGCTTTATTGGCCGAGGGAGCCGGCGTACAGCTTCCAGGTCATGTGGCCAGCATGACTAAGCCGCTTCTGGCGAACCAGAGCAGCACACGGAAATGCCGTTTACCTTCCCGCCGGAGCAATACCTATTTATCTACTTACACTTTGACGTGCTTTCGAACTGCTGGGTTGGCAGGAGCAGGGACTGAGCAACGGGAGCTCACCCCATTGCGGGGATTCGAACCGCCAACCTCCTGATCGGCAAGTCCTAGGCTCTGTGGTTTAACCCACAGCGCCACCCGTGTCCCATACAAAAGCATTAAAATCAAAAGTCAGCTAATGGAAAGGTGAAATGCCTGCATAAGCGCAGCAGGCATTTAAAAGCTGACACAGGAGGCTCCTGCTGAATTTCTATTGGCAGATGACACTAAAGGCTTGGCTACTTGTTGCAGTCAGTCGCAGGAGCCTCACCCTCACCAATGACGCACCTGCGGATGAATGCGCAGAGGGTGGGGCTGGATAGCATGTTCCCCTTCTCCTTCCACTTGTTCAGACAACAGGGAGAACAGGGCTAGGTCTTCCAGTCTTGAATACAGACTCCATGCTCGTGTAAGTAGATTGAGTATTTATCCATGTGCAGTCTCAACTTTGTCTGTTCTGCAGAGCTTGGGAGAGAAGTGGAACCAGCTAGTGTGATTCTCTCCCTCCATGTATATTCCGTGAAAGGATGAAGACACAGGTGAGCAAAGGGAGTTCTACAGGTAACACTTTCCAGAGCAAAAGGTATTCTTCTTAATGCAGCATGGAAAGTGGAAATATCTATATGCAACAGGCATTGTGCAAAAGGAATGACAGTCACTGTGGTTCAACGGTTGACTAGAACCCAGGAGAACCAGGTTCAAGGTGTTAATTTTAGCCACATTCAGGCAGCAGACAAGAGGAACTTAGGACAAAGTTTGTTACTGACAGGGGAATTAAGTAGCATTCTGAAACAGAAATTTCTGGTTTCTAAGCGGAGTATTTAAGGCGTTGCAGGACACAGGAAGCAGGAACATGGTTATCTCGCAGAAAGTGAAGCATAATGGGCCTGTTCCCATCTCACTGTATATCTAGCACACATTCATCTGATAGCTTTAAGTGCTGGAAGGACTTGGCACTGTCATGCAAAAGGAGCCATCGTGGTGCAATGGTTAGCATTCTGGACCAGAACTTAGGAGAATGAGGTTCAAATCCTCTCTCCAACATGAATTTCACTGGGTGGCCTTGGGTCGGTGACTATTTTTCAGCAGAACAGAACTGCTGTGTGGATAAAATGGAGGGAGAGAACAGAACCACTCACTTCACCCTTGGAGGAAGAATAGAATATGCATGTAAAGCATGCAAAACAAGTGAGTCCTGCAAAAAAACATGTTACGTATGTGTAGCTGGATAGCTCAGTCAGTAGAGCATGCGACTCTTAATCTTGAGGTCATGGGTTCACATAGCTGTCAACGTTTCGGGTGGCACTGTGGGTTAAACCAGAGCCTAGGACTTGCCGATCAGAAGGTCGGCGGTTCGAATCCCTGCAACGGGGTGAGCTCCTGTTGCTCAGTCCCAGCTCCTTCCAACGTAGCAATTCGAAAGCACGTCAAAGTGCAAGTAAATAAATAGGTACCGCTCCGGCGGGAAGGTAAACGGCGTTTCCATGCGCTGCTCTGGTTCGTCAGAAGCGGCTTAGTCATGCTGGCCACATGACCCGGAAGCTGTATGCCGGTACGTCGGCCAGTAAATCGAGATGAGCGCCGCAACCCCAGAGTTGGCCACGACTGGACCTAATAGTCAGGGGTCCCTTTTACTTATGGGTTCAAGACCCATGTTGGTTCCCTAAACAGTCAGCATTCTGCAACCACAGCATGCTTAGACTTCATCTTCATCAAGCTGCTTTGAGCTACCTTCCCCGCCTCACAACCCCATTTGTTTGTACTTCCACAAACCTTGGAGAGCTATTTCCCTTTTGCGCATGGACTCTTTAGTCTTAGGGTCGTGGATTTGAGCTCCACGTTGGGCAAAGGATTCCTGCATTGCATGCGGTTGGGCTGGATGACCCTCGGTGTCCCAACTCTACAATTCTATTATTCTACGGATGGCACCCTTTTGGCATTGCATGGACCCGTGTTCACGTTGAGTGCATGGGAGTTTTGTGGGCTGTTCTCTGGTGGCGTGCGTCCTGCCCACCTGCCTCGGGAAAACCCTCCCAAACTAGAGAACCGTCATCGGTGCCTTTAGAATAACGCCATCATTCTTCCACTATCCTAAGCCAGGGCGAGGACAAGAAAGAGGGGGGAAATCAGCGGGTGATCAGGCCCAGCCCTCGAGGTATTAAAACGAAACGCAAACCTGACGCACGTGCGATTAACTATTCAGAAGAGAAAAAAATAGTTGCCATTCAGAAAAAAGGAGATTTGCAAAAGGGTGATCAGGGGTGTCGCCTATTCCCGCCCAACAAGGAAGTAGAACAAGGATGACGGCTCGTGACAGCTGCATATATTATTTTGCAGGGAATTCTTTCTTAGGAAAAACAGACCTCGATCCAGAGGAATTGGAGACGCCCGATTCTCCACCCCTGCCTGCGCCCCTATAACCCGCGCATCCTAAGCAACAAGGGCTGAGGACCAGGAAGCGCAGGTTCCTGTCGGTGCCCCGGTGGCCTCTGGGCGGATCGCGCCCCCCAGCAGCGCTCACCAGTTTCCTGAGCCCACGATGCTGACTTTCAAGGGCGACGCTGTAGCCATGGGGGCGCCGGCAGCGGCAAGAGAAGCAGTGCAAAGGTAACGGCGCCTGGAGACCCTCCAATGGCCGCGGCCAGCAGTCCTCCGCCGCCTATGCAGAATCGGCGCAGGAGACGATCCCGCCCCCCCCAGCAAGAGCCAGGGACCTCCTCCTTCACCCGGAGCTTGCTGGGAATTATAGTCCTCTTCCGACTGACTGGGCTAGACACGTGCCGCCGGGTATTGCTTTTATTTCATTTTAAAAAATCTTGCTGAGGACGCAGCGCCGTTGCGCCGGATTTGCTTTGCGCGGCTCATTCTTTGCAAGCCCAAGGAGTTTAGGCAAGCGTTTTGCAGTTACCTGGGAAGGAGTCCCGTTGAACTCGATGGGGTTTACTTCTGAGTAGGCACGGTGAGGCTTCCAACCTTGGCAGATCCAATCCGCTTATTTCTGTCTGTGCAGAGGATTACTCTTGCTAGAAAATGAAAGCGCTGCAAGGAGCCACAGGATATTCCCTAAGGCGCACTGACTCACAGGAGAGAGAGAAATTCCACGTGGGAGTGGATCCTGCCCCTCTTGTGGGTCAGACGCTGTTATTCATATTTATTTCCTCTCTAACGCAGGATTAAAAAAGGGCATCTTAAGGTTTTTACTGTAGCAGCAACTGTATATATTGTAGCAGAATAAATATAACATACATACATGTGCGTGTGTTTTTATCCTGAATATCTACATACTTTCCCCAATATTTTCTGTGCATTGGAGACAAAGCCTAGCTAGCAGAACACCACTGGGTAACATGTGCAAGAGGCGTCATGTGACGGCAGAAAGTAGAGTTTTCAGAAACACAAGTCACGTGCCATCTGATGCAAGGCGTGCATGTGCAGGAGTCAGAGACTGATAGAACGGTAGACTCGGAGACCCCAAGGATTATCTGTTCCAACCCCCTGGAATGCAGGAATATGCAGTTGTCCCATGTGGGGATCAAACCTGCAACCTTGGCATTACCAGCACCATGCTCTAACCAACTGAGCCTCAAAATGCCAATGGGGTTTAATCACAAATAAGTATGCAAATGATTGCAGCTGTGCAATGCAGCTCACCCCTAAGTAAGTCCTAAAGGTAAAGGGACCCCTGACCATTAGGTCCAGTCATGACCGACTCTGGGGTTGCGGCGCACATCTCGCTTTATTGGCCAAGGTAGCCGGCGTACAGCTTCCGGGTCATGTGGCCAGCATGACTAAGCCGCTTCTGGCGAACCAGAGCAGCACACAGAAACACTGTTTACCTTCCCACCAGAGCGGTACCTATTTATCTACTTGCACTTTGACGAGCTTTCGAACTGCTAGGTTGGCAGGAGCAGGGACTGAGCAACGGGAGCTCACCCTGTCGCGGGGATTCGAACCGCCGACCTTCTGATCGGCAAGTCCTAGGCTCTGTGGTTTAACCCACAGTGCCACCCGCATCCTATTGAATTCAGTTGTGCCTTAATTCCAAAGTAAGGGTGCATAGTCTTGCAGAGAGAAGAGGAGAGCAGGCAAGGGCAATGTTGTTTAAGGGATGCTCGATTTAGCCTTTCCCAAACTAGGGGCCTAACTGATCGTTGTCACATTCGTTTCTCTGAGCGACACCGTTATTCTCTTTCACATTTGGATGGTTGACATTAATTCAGGGTGTGGCCTTAAGTAATATGGTGCCTTGAGCGAGGGCAAAATTTGGTGCCCCCGCTAAACATTTCTTATTTTCACAACAATTCCTTTTTTTATTTAGCCAACACACACAAATGTGCCTTTTTATTTATTATTAATTTGTGCAGGGGAACTGCCCATCCCACCTTAAATCCGGTCCTGCATCCTATCCTTTAGGGAGCCCCCCCCGTCTTTCCCCCCTCTTTCCTTTTCTTTACAAACTGTCATAAGTAAAATCAGATCAGATTGGAACCATCAATTCCTTTGAGAGGACAATGCAACGCTAGAATAATACAGCCTTACATGAAAGCTGGGAGATGCATGGATCATTGAAGGCTTAATGGAGTATGTCAAGAAGAGTAAGATATATTGGCTTGAAGGATTTACTCTCAAAGCATGAGAAAGTGCATTTAGAAGAATACAAGCCTTTTTGACCATAACAAGCTGTGGATGAGACAGGATTTTAAACATTGCAACTGACAGCTTGACGTCATGTGGGCATACTGATATTTTAATTTCCATATAGGGGTGGGGAAGTGTTTCATTTGCCAGAGCCCTCCCTTGCTAGCTAATATGTGGCACTAAGGTCAGTGCCTTAAAACTTTTGTCCGAAAGTTGCACTGGTGCGGTAGCAATGGGGCAATATTATTGCTCCACTCGCAGCCAGCGTCTCTCTTGCTGCCTCACAAAGGCGTCCTGAGAGATAGAAACAGGCAGAGAAAGGGATGTGGTTAGTCCTTGGGTAAAACTCAAGGCCTCTTGGACAGAGCCAGTTAAATTGGCGGAAAAGGGGAAATTACATGTGTACGGCACACACAGACTTCCAGCCATGTGGAAGACTAGCCACGTACAGCTATATAAAGCTGGAATAAGAGATTATGAAGCCCCAAACCATGCCCCTATTACAGTAGTAAGCTAAAGGTAAAGGTGACCCCTGACCATTAGGTCTAGTCGTGACCGACTCGGGGGTTGCGGTGCTCATCTCGCTTTGTTGGCTGAGGGAGCCGGTGTACAGCTTCCGGGTCATGTGGCCAGCATGACTAAGCTGCTTCTGGCAAACCAGAGCAGCACACAGAAACACCGTTTACCTTCCTGCCGGAGCAGTACCTATTTATCTACTTGCACTTTGACGTGCTTTCGAACTGCTAGATTGGCAGGAGCAGGAACCGAACAACGGGTTCTCACCCCGTCGTGGGGGTTCGAACCGCCAACCTTCTGGTCGGCAAACCCTAGGGTAAAATACGCGACAGGATGTGATAAGGGATACCAACTGAAGGGAGGGAAGGAAGACGCAAGCTCGGCAGAGCATAAGGTTTATAGGTTGATTAATGTACAGTAAGAATGAATGTGTAAAGGAAATAATAAAAATTTATTGGGTGGGGGGGAAGAAAGTAGGAGAGCAAAGGGCTCAGAAGGAAAGGGCCCTCAGCGCCACCTGTAGAAGGGATGATGAATGAGGAAGTGGGAGAAAAAGCTGGTGGAGAGTCACTTGGGAAAACACCACTATTCCAAGAGGCTGCTTTCCCAAGCCTCTCTGTGAATAAAAAGCAGGTGGTAAGGATTTTTCCTTGTCTTATCCATTCCTGGCAACCTGCTGTGGGGATTGGTTCCTCTCCTGCCTGACAGCTGCATACACACCATAGATTTCAAGTACAGTGGTACATACGCTTCAGGTGACATACGCTTCAGGTTACAGACTCCGCTCACCCAGAAATAGTACCTCGGGTTAAGAACTTTGCTTCAGGATGAGAACAGAAATCGTGCTCCGGCGGTGTGGCAACAGCAGGAGGCCCCATTAGCTAAAGTGGTGCTTCAGGTTAAGAACAGTTTCAGGTTAAGAACGGACCTCCAGAACAAATTAAGTACTTAACCCGAGGTACCACTGTACATGCTTTCCCTCAAAGAATCCTGGAAACTGTAGTTTATCCATTGCAGAACTACAGTTCCCAGCACCCTTAACAAACTACCATTCCCAGGATATTTTTGAGGGGCTGAGAGCCATTTTCTTTAAACACATAGTGTATACACAGCCATCGTCTCTAACCCTGAGCCCCAAATATTTTTAGTTTCAAAGGGAAGCACCCTTAGACAAATCTGCAATATCCAAATCACTTTTTAAAATAAAATTTAAAAGAGGTTCTCTTTCTACTGGGGTAGGAGAACTGGGGGGGAATCATGTCTGGCAACCAATGCATTGTTTTGGTTTCAGATAGTACATGGGTAGAGGAGTCTAAAAAGCCCAGGACACAAATTTTCACGTCCCTCTAGTGGCAATGGTGGCTCATGCAGCAGAAGTAACATAAAAGGTAAAGGTAAAGGTACCCCTGCCCGTACGGGCCAGTCTTGCCAGACTCTAGGGTTGTGCGCTCATCTCACTCTATAGGCTGGGAGCCAGCGCTGTCCACAGACACTTCCGGGTCACGTGGCCAGCGTGACAAGCTGCATCTGGCGAGCCAGTGCAGCACACGGAAACGCCGTTTACCTTCCCGCTAGTAAGCAGTCCCTATTTATCTACTTGCACCCGGGGGTGCTTTCGAACTGCTAGGTTGGCAGGCGCTGGGACCAAGCAACGGGAGCGCACCCCGCTGCGGGGATTTGAACCGCCGACCTTCTGATCGGCAAGTCCTAGGCGCTGAGGTTTTACCCACAGCGCCACCCGGGTCCCCAGAAGTAACATATTTAGCATTAACTCTGGAAGTATATCTGGGACGCGGGTGGCGCTGTGGGTAAAACCTCAGCGTCTAGGACTTGCCGATCGTCAGGTTGGCGGTTCGAATCTCTGCGGCGGGGTGCGCTCCCGTTGCTCGGTCCCTGCTCCTGCCAACCTAGCAGTTCGAAAACACAAAGTGCAAGTAGATAAATAGGTACCACTCCAGCGAGAAGGTAAACTGCATGTGCTGCTCTGGTTCGCCAGATGCGGCTTAGTCATGCTGGCCACATGACCCGGAAGCTGTACACTGGCTCCCTCGGCCAGTAAAGCAAGATGAGCGCCGCAACCCCAGAGTCAGCCACGACTGGACCTAATGGTCAGGGGTCCCTTTACCTTACCCATGTACTATCTGAAAACAAAAGGGCACATTGGTTGCCAGGTGTGAAATATATTGGCATTGTTTTCAGCTCTCCTGCCCCACAATTCACTGCTTTACTTCAAACATGGTCAGCTGTTTCTTCCAGCTAACAAAGGCTGGTGTCTTGGAACAATATAGTTGGACTGGAAGGTTAACTTTGAGGTTCAAGCTCTTGGAGCAGAATGCGACCAGTTAAAGGGACCTACAGCCATCGGATTTTCCAAGGCAATTGGTTTTCAGGCTTCTAACAGTCTTGTTTACTGCAACCTGCCCCATTGAGCCTAATGAGAGCCACAGAGAGCTATAAACCATTTCCCAGATGGTCCCTATTTACTGATCATGTAAGAGGACATCAGTTGCCCCTATTTGCATGCACAACTGACATTAGTGAGA